AAGTTACAAGAACGGAAAGAAAAATTGAAATTGAGAAATAATTTAATGAAAGTTAAATGTATCCGACGTATTGATTATATTTTAGCTACGAAACTCCTGATAATACAAACAATGATTAATCATCTAGTTGCACACAAATAGTTACATCATAGAAGTTGATATAAATTTACGTAGAAATTCAGTTAATCTTTGTACATAAATACTTACATTGCGTGATTGTTAAAGTTTACTTTCCATCAATTTTATAAACAATTATTTGTGCAGTTAAAACATTGAATTATAAAGTATTCTCAGGACCAAATTAACGATGTTGTTAAAGGGTTTTATTCAACAAATGAAAAACTGGAAATATTCTCTCGATGTTCTGTAGTATTTCATTGCTACTGCCTCAGCAAATACTTCTCATTCGTCTAGGGGTTCATGCATCGTTAATGTGTTCGTCGGAACGCAAATTCTCTAATCCTATGGTTTAGAGTGGTTTGACATTGGTAGCTATTCGGGCGTGTGAGAATGATCACGAAAAGTGCGTAATAGTAAGTTGAACAGAGAAACTCTCTGCAAGTCGAAAATGGTCAGAAGTGAAGAATAAAGGAACCGTACAAGAAATCATTAATACGAATCCAATTAAATAATAAGTATTCAAACGAGATGTTGTTCTTCGTACAAATACAACTCTTCATTGTTATTAATTTATATTAATTATACACACTATCATAATGTAAAGCAAAATAATCGAAAAACTGCAAAATTATCTTGTGTCGAAAAGCTCGAATAAATAAAATTATCGTTTGTTTTCATAGGAATCTGCAAACTAAACGCCACCATTAAAAATTTTCTACAATATGAAAATCTTTCTAAAAACTTTCATGTTTTTCCTGTACTTCTTTTTCTTGAAAATATTTTTTCAAATATTCATGAAACGACGCGAATCGAAAGCTTTGCAATGTTTCAACAGAATTATTAAAAAAATTTTAATCGCAAATTTAAAGTGAATACTAGAGTACCGAGTTATTGACATAATCAGTTTACGTTTTCTTATACTTCCATATTTTGGCGTGAACGGTAACGATTAAAATTATTATATGTAAAATGTTTTTGTTTGGGAAAAAATAAATTCATAAATAGAGCATTCGAAACTACATACATGAACTGTTCTATTTAAAGTTTCCTTCGATCACTATAACTACACAATAGTTTCAAAATTCATAAATGGTAAACGTAAACATATAACATGACTGCCACCAAAATCTATTGCATACTCTTTGCTGGAGTGGGGAACGAGACTGTTTCTAAGCCACGCATGAATTGATATGCACCTGGTTAAAGAAATTATGTGCAAGACTCTTCAGTTGAAATAAATCCGCGAAAACTAGCTGTTTAATTAATGCGCTGAACAAATTTGTATTCTCAGTTTTATATAGGATGCAACACTAACTTTTCAGTTGAAACAATCTTATTCCAACCTTAAAAGTTAAGGAAAATATCACGAAGTATTTAAAATACTGTTTGTTATGTAATTGAAACTATGACTCCGAAAAAAAAACATCACCCGTTATCGTTATTGCTATTTGATACTGTAAATCTTATTTCATGTTATCCAACATCTTCTGGATTATTTATACCTTTGAATGTTTTTCTTTTTATTTATGGTCTTTCACACGGTACCATAGTGATATATATAATAAAGATAAAAAAACTACAGCATTTTAAAACATCAAATTAACCATTTTTTGTCTTTAAAAGAAGCAACAAATTCTGACAATTTTTAAATAGAGTTTCATTTCGGAGCATTTGGAGATTGTACTTTATTTATTTATATCAATCTACTTCACCCAGTCCATATTATCTAAAATAAAAAAATAACAGTACCGGAAGTAATCAGTCAGCATCGTGACCCATCTGTTCTTATTGTTCAATTTTTAGATTTTATTAAAAATGTGTAACAAAAAACGGAGCACACAGAACCATGACTGTCGTTCAAACTTGACGCAAAATTGACAGTTTTCAACGAAATAACTGTGGTTGTATCGTCATTCATTTTTTCTAAATTGAAACAAAATTTGATTCTCCTGTTATCAAAATCTAGGAACGAAAGTAAATGAAGAGAAACAATTTAAAAAATTGTTTCGTTCTATTAGGACATGGGTGACACTAATTCCGGATTAATTTCCAAATGTCATTCTGTGAAACATATTCGAAGAAACTAAATGTTACGAGGACGTTTAGAATGCAAAACAATTAAAATAACTCCTATTATGATAAATTATAACTTTCTAGTTTCAGTTTCATTAATTAGATTACTTTGATTCTGTAGAAACTTTTTAGGTTGATTTTCGGCCAACGTAGCTGTAAAACAAATTAAATGTATAGTTTCATAATCCTTTTTGATAAATATAAAATGGTCACATAATTACTATTTTATGACATAAATGAATGGCTGCAATTTTAAACAATTTGAGGACTAAAAGTATTGAAAAGTATCAATGAATTAGTGTCGACCTATATAAAAGCAATTAAAGCATTTGAAAAATTCCTTAAATCACTCCCGTTTCCTGCAAACACAAAGAAACTGTTTAATTTGCATAAAAATCCGCATTTCAGTTAATTCATATATTGGAAGAATAATCGCGACGTACTAGTCAAAATAATTTTATTTGTTTTTGTGAGAATGAAGTACTTGGGAATGAAACAATGTCATTATTTATTACAAATTCACAAAAAATGCACAAAACAAAAATGGATTTAATATGTGACTACAATTTCTAATGATAAATGTGCATCTGGAGTATCCCTATTTGTACCTCCCTATCATGTACCACTAAGGATGATCTAATTAAAAAAGTTTTGAAATTTATCACAAATAGAAAACCGTTCCGTTTTCAATGACATCGAAACAAGCACTGTATAGTCGCTTAGAAGTATAATAAAATTCGATATGAAATGTTTAATATGTAACGTACTTCACTAAATTATAGATAATTTTGTATCATCACTGATCAAAGAAACACGGATAACGTAGAACATAACATTTAACATTAGGTTTACGAGACGCGTCATTTTAACAGGTCCTAAATCTTTTTATAATTTGCGATTATTGAAATTCTAAACATATATTAATGGGGAGTTTATCCAATAAACTTGTTTTATCTGACATACATTATAATAAAAATCGTCTAAAATCTGGAAAAATAGACTTGTTATTTTTATAGAGTAATATAAAATAGCTTCTTGTACTGTTCCCAACACTTAGTGTTAATGCAAAGTAAAGTATACACTTACCTGAAAGCCTCCGCAAAGAGAAAAGTGACATTGGAAAATCATTAATATATAAGCGAACGGTAGAAATTTAGAAACTAATTAAGAGTTTCCCTCCTAACTAGTTTCTGTATTACTACTGTGCGTTTATTAATGATTTTTTCTCTTTGCGAAGGTCTTTTAGGTAAGTATATACTTATATTTCCTATTAACACTAAATTAGGAACACTACAAGCAGTTATTTTATGTTACTCCATAAATAATAACAAGCATATATTTTTCCGGATTTTAAACGGTTTTTATTATATGTTCGATAAAACAAATTTATGGCATAAATGTACAAAAGCACCATATTTTTAAGGAAGTATGACGCTTTATGAGTGAATAAAACAAAACTAATTAAAAGAATCACAAAATCACTTTACTTTGAACAAAGCATACGCTTCACGAGTAAATCTAATAAAGGAGAAGGTATTGGAATATTGTTTTCCATAGGACTCAGCTATGTATCTCCCAAAGAAAAATGTTTTATACATTACACAAGATTTTTCAATCAACTTTTAGCCAGTTTTGGAGGTCAAATACTCTGCTGTGCGTCGTGAGCGACGCGATCGATACTTCGATCTATTGAAACAGCACGCAGGAAACAGGGAAGAGTCATCAAAGGTGTAGTCAAACGAACGAACGGCCATCGTAAATTCCATTTCGATTTCTCCTGGTAACTTACCCCAACTGCTTGCCGTTCTGCCCATGAAGGCGCCAGTCTCACGGTTGTAAATGAAGGTCTTGAAAGACTGGTTGGTCGACACGTTCGCCGGGTTCAGATAGGGATCTGACTCCGGCGCGACCATCTTCTGGTTCTTGCTGACCATGTTGTCGGCAGGTGAAATTTTCTTTGGAAGCGAAGTATTTCCAGCACTAATCACGTATCGAGTAGCAGGGAACGGTTCGAACCGAATCAATCCGAACGAACATGGAACACTATATGGAACGCGAGCGAGCAACGGCACCGCAGGATCGCTCGCACCGAAACCGAAACCGTGAGTTCCTCGAGGTCGGCTGTGGCAGCTTCTCCGATGCCGACAGTTGGTTCTTCAACGCCACCAGGTTGACTAAACACGCTACGTTTGTGCAGGCTTCTTCTCCGTCTCGTTCCCTTCTACCGGTTTCTTCTCGCTTTCTCTCCCTCCCCCCTCCCCCCACGCGCCCCCACCTATCCGTTCTGAACCCTCTCCCACACCGGAGAACTGTCCAGTGTTATGACGTGTTCGACTGTGTACGTACACGACCTCTCGCGACACTCGTGTCGCCCATTGTTGTCGTTGTGTGAGGTTCGTGGTACCGAACGTAAGAAAAACGCCGGGGATTCCGATTGCTTTCGTCAAAATTTTCCTCGATATCGTCGACCGCTGTAACCTGACCTAGAAAACGGTGGTCTTCGAATTCATTTTATCCCGTTATACCGTGAAATGTTCACTAACTTCCCAGTATTCATCGTGTAAAGTACACGATGTTTTCAATATTCCCCCACGAGCCACGCCTAAAATACAGATCCTTTGTACTTGTTCTATTGAGCGCAGTTTGGATTAAACTGGTTTTTCGTTCCGTTCGTTCCGACGGACCAGTCCGAAGATTTGAATGCTCGTAGGGAACCAACGGGAATTACGTTTCAACTGCGTCTATGCACTGGTAACGTTGTGCAAGAGCCCGTGAGTTTATAACGTCTTGAGCTGTTTGAGAAAACTTAGTTGAGGAAATTAGTTGAGGAATGCGCGACGGTCAATGAAACGGAAATTATTTTGAATAAAAAAGACAGGCTTGGAGATTATAGGACAAAAGATTTAAATCATTTAAATATAATACCAATTTAAATTATTTAAATATAATACCAATTTAAATTATTTAAATATAATACCAATTTAAATTATTTAAATATAATACCAATGACGGTTATCGTAATGAACAGTTTCACGGGAGAATGCTTGTTCGCCATAGGTTGAACGCAACAGTAGGTATCACCGAGGAATAGGGCATCCTATTATTTGAACGTGGCAGGTTGCACCTGGCGGGTATATGTACGGGAAGTGATATGCTATCGATGATATAAAATTAATATTTTAGACATCAAATANGATCCTTTGTACTTGTTCTATTGAGCGCAGTTTGGATTAAACTGGTTTTTCGTTCCGTTCGTTCCGACGGACCAGTCCGAAGATTTGAATGCTCGTAGGGAACCAACGGGAATTACGTTTCAACTGCGTCTATGCACTGGTAACGTTGTGCAAGAGCCCGTGAGTTTATAACGTCTTGAGCTGTTTGAGAAAACTTAGTTGAGGAAATTAGTTGAGGAATGCGCGACGGTCAATGAAACGGAAATTATTTTGAATAAAAAAGACAGGCTTGGAGATTATAGGACAAAAGATTTAAATCATTTAAATATAATACCAATTTAAATTATTTAAATATAATACCAATTTAAATTATTTAAATATAATACCAATGACGGTTATCGTAATGAACAGTTTCACGGGAGAATGCTTGTTCGCCATAGGTTGAACGCAACAGTAGGTATCACCGAGGAATAGGGCATCCTATTATTTGAACGTGGCAGGTTGCACCTGGCGGGTATATGTACGGGAAGTGATATGCTATCGATGATATAAAATTAATATTTTAGACATCAAATAAATAATTCGATTCGGATTTATTTGACTTTCAATATTAGAAAAGATAGCAATGTCAAAATATTTGTTAAACTTAATACCAGTGCACGTATACAGTGATAACACAGTACTGATTTATCCCATCAGAGACAGAAATTGCTGGATTCGACGTTAGATGGCTTCGAAGAAAATGCTTTTCCCGCAGTTGGCCGTTCCGTCTCTCGTTTCTATATAAATCTTCTCGAATTGGATAGCAAATATTTCTGCGTTAAGAGTAACGTCTGTACAGCAATCTTATCGATATACTCAACCAGCACTCGGAACAAAGGGCCCATTCAATTTTCTTTGATCTACTTCCATTATATCGCTCAATTCAAACCGTTAAAATCTGAAGCTACGTGGCGCAGCCTAGCGTCCATCTTACGAACTAGTTCGCGCGAATGGCCCGTAATAAGAACAGGCGGTTTCAGCTGGCTTTCAGTGGTTCAGCATTCTACACACGACTATTACCGTGTTACGCGCGTAATTATATGCGGCTTCAAACCATAATTATTTGATAAATATGTAGAGTCTAGTCTTCCAAATTAGTCTTCAGATTACGAGATGATACAGGCCAACGTAAAAATGATTTATGAGAAATTTGATAACATAAAATTGCTCCACTTGATTTCATTAAACTCTAAGGAATATTGACACTTTTCCGTGACACTTTGATTTTACTGTTTCAATCCTAATTGAACGAATTGAGCAGTCATGGCTTTTTTAGTTCAGATTATACGTGCTTCAACTTATTTCTTTCCGTTTTTCTACCAGCACGTGCACGACGAACGATAACGGCTGATATTAATTTACCTGTACCACCTAGCGATTGGATGGTGATCCCGGCGAAGAAGGCTGCGAAAATGATTTCCTCGACTTGATCGTCGAGAAACAAATTGGGGGCTAAGGTCAGATCTCGTGTGTGTGACCTTAGTGGCTGGAGGCGACACGTGTGTGCGATTCACAGCACTGTAGTATTGGCAGTTACCTCCTCCCTCTTTTTGTAACACCGAGATGAGTCGCGCGCAGGCATATATAATGTGAGTCACACACGACGACCGATCTGAATTAACCACATCCTGTCGACTATGTCGTATGACATTAATGTCATTGCCGTGTGCTATCAGTCTGAGAGTATCAGGCAAAATAGACGGAAGAATCGTCTTAAATGTCTCGACCTCGCGCGACGATTTTCTCTGAAAAAATTGGAATTACGATTTGCCGCCTATGAGCCATGCGTATCATCGAACTTGTTAGCCAGCTCCGCCGATAATCCTGTGTACACAAATTCCTGAACCATTTAAGCAGACAGTTGAAGTTTCTTGATGAAGCTCATTAAGCGAAGCCTAGTGCAGTAATGCGATTGATGATTTTCAGTAAGAGTCATTTTGCATACAAATACAAGCTAGTTAAAAGATAATATTGCACATACACAAACAAAAATGTGTTTATGTAACTTTTAAAAATAACCTTCTTAGAAGAATGTTATTAATATAAGTGGCAATATTATCATTTAACTAGTTTTTGTATTTGTATGGAAAATTAGGTACAATTTGGAATAATCGGAATTGTACCAGATCATTTGAGCTGTTTATAAATATTTGAGAAATTAGTTTACTAGATGATATGTAAACAATTGTTTGCAAAAAATTGAAATTGACAGAAATCACGAAGAAGATAGTAGAGGCTGCTTTCTGTGGTCTTTTTCAACAAAGTTGTTGGTGAAAATTTTAAAAATAAGTTTCCTAGATTTTTAATGTATGTATTTATTAATAATTATATCGATATCGACAGATGCAGAAATAACCAACAAGCATTGAACAATTTGAAAGATTTATTATATTTATGATTATGATTATTGATAAGATTTTCAACATGTACTATACAGAATACCTCATTTTCAATTCGTTATTTGGAAAAATGTAACATACGAAACTTATTCTATTTCGGGAGGGACTTTTTGTTTGTAAGTGTATGCTTAAATGACACACGAATATCATCGTTATTTTTTTTAATGGAATCGCATACCTTTTTATGTTGAAAAATTATTACCTTGGAAGATATTTTAATTTTAATATTGCGAATCCCTATTATTAATAATAGGGATTCCCATAAGTGAGTAATTATGCAGAAAGAGAGGGGAAGGCCTAATCTAATTTTGCTGAACTTAGGATGTTATAGAGGGACAGCTCCTGAATAATATGCAGTTTGTCCAAGATTGCGAAATGATCATGAGGAATGTTTTAGTTAACGAAGGAAACTTATGTCCAATTCTAATTTTTGTAAAATGACGTATGAAAATGAGAATTTGCACAAAAATCTACAGTTTATAATTTTTGAACTATGATAACTTACAACCTTGAACAAATTGCATATTATTCAGAACGTTCTTTAAGTCCCCCTTTTCTAACGGCACTGGATTACGTCCTCTTCGAAATTTATAGTATGGATATTCTTAATTTCCATTACAGGCTTAGAAAAATTATAAAACGCAATCTTTATTATCATTACAATTTCGATCAATTTTGCCATTCTAAATATTTTCTTACCACACTACTCCTTGAAACTTTTCGTTTATAATTTATTTCAAATTTGCAGGAAGTGCACATATTATGCTTTTCGTCCAGTATATTAATTACAAAATCAAATATACATAAAAAATTATAGAAAACATTGAAAAGGTTAAATAATAGCAGACTAATTAGTAGGTTTAAAACCATTATTAAAACCATTAATAATATTTTACTTAAAATTAAATAACACAAAGTCGTACTTTCCAACAAACGTTTCGTCAAAATGTTTGCACGCCAAATTCTGTGAACTTCTTATTCTGTTGTAATTATGTCTTTGCAGTTTACGTATTATTCCATCAACTCTCTTGATCAAAATTACATAGTATTATATTGCACTGTCAATAATAATTAAAGTGAAAATAGTCTGTTAATTAAAATAGTCAATAACTGTCAATTTTTATAAACATTATTCTGTTTATTTTAAAATCTATAACTGTAGACAAAATTTAATTAAGATATACAGTGGAA